TAGCCGGTAGCTTTCCCTCATCGACATAATTGTTTTCATCTTACCGGGTACATGGCGAGCATCCATATAAGACTAATGGAACGATCTCTATGAGGAATCTTGGTTGCTACGAAGACAACAGATTCAATGAATGCAATGATGAGGAGGATTGTGATAGCTGATGTGATGGACATCATGACGATTAGACCTGTGTCATCAGATATTACTGACAAAAGGAAAACAGTAATGAAAATATCAAATGAAAGTCGAACATCATTTTCATCCATCAGTGGTTGCCTGTCAGAATGATGCATATCATTATGGTTATAGTAATCATCACAGTGAGTGTTATAGTACCACAATGGTGATAGTAAAGTTTTTTTTTTAAAGGGGTGAACTTTTTAAAAATCTCGAAAGCTCACGCTCTCAAGAAACGTTGTGTAAGTATAGCGATTAACTTTTTTTTTCCGGGGGAGGGGTGCCTAATAATTTGTTGGGCCCCCGGATTCACTTGCGGTTCAATGATTTAAAAATCTATATGGAGGCTACACGGGGGTTTAACAAAGCAAAACTATATAATGTACAACAATACTCCTTGTTCTTTCGCTTTCTTTAGATTATTTTAGTTTCATTTGAAGTATGATGAAACTGAATTACGTACCTTCTATGTGATCAACGAACATAGGTGCAATGGTTGAGCATTGATTGGTTGCCATTTTGATGCTCCAGACGTGAACTCAGCCGGTCAATACAAACCCCAATATTTCTCCCTTATAAAACGGGATTCAAATTAACCAGACGATCAAGGTAGATGTAATGTTCCATGAAAATTACATATTACAGGTGATCGTGTTGACGGTGTGGATTCCCCCGGACAGTTGAATTATGCAGCTAGATTCCAGAATTTTATGCGTGATAGTATTGCTATAGCTACACACACATAATTATTAAACTACCTGGCGAGGATATCTCTATCAATATTTAACCCATCTTGTTTGTCTCAGTCTATCTAGCTAGTTTCGGAGGTCTAAAGGTCAGGTTTGGGTATAGCCTTTTAAACGTTTTGTTTATCATGTACACTGCTTAGGATCAGGTCCCGGTGACCCCCCCCCCCCCCCCCCCCCCCCCCCCATCCGGGGTCGGAGGGACCGCCTTCGTGTTCCCAAAAATCTACGGTAAAGGGGTACTTTTCACGCAACAAAGTCCGGTCCGTATTGACTTATACACACCGGAGATAGGGTGGTGCTTTCAAAAATCCGGCCCGGATAGACCTTACACACCAGTGATATAGGGTGCTCTCAAAGGGAGGGAACATGCAAATCAGTCATGTATGTGCCCCCCCCCCCCCAAACATCAATCTCTGACTACGGCCCTGGATATTAGGAGAATCAAATTGACCATTCGTGTATCAGTTCTTAATATCTTATCAAAGTCAAGGGCTATTCCATTCAGGGATAGTCCTACCTAGAGCAGATCTATATACTGAACGAAACGCAGGCATTTATCATGTCTCCACATAATGTTATGCTCAGTTTCAAATTTTGTTCCCCCTTTAAGCTGGTTGGAGCTTGGCCCATTTTTCTTCCAGCATCTTTTCAAAGTGAACTTTACACAAGGGGCATAACTTTATTGTAAAGGGTGTCAGTGTTTTACGTAATCGTCCATACAATAATATTTCTGTATATACACTGTCACTCATATAGTTGGAATATTTTAGTTTTACCCCAGTTTATGGAATTATTTTAAAAATAATTTAAAAATAATAGATCTAGATAATAGTATACATTCTCAGATTTAATTGAATAATAATTTGACAATGTGTGTTTGACAATGTGTGTGACTGCTAAAGCATGTGTATACTACTATGCTTATCAAGTAGGGGACCTACGCCCTTAAGTCATAAATGACAGTAATGAGGATTAATGCCCCACAAAAGGGCACTAATATAGCACATCGACACGGTTTTGATCCTGGGGCCTCACAGTTACGAGGCCATTGCTTTGTCACTGAACCATGACTGTACGCAGCGGGGGCTAGGGTAGGGGGCAGTTTCCAAAAATTTAAAAAGCTCAGAAAATGCAATAAATTTTCAATAATTTATTACATTTTACCCCGGTCCCCAACATAAAAAAATCCGCTGGACGGCCAAGCATACAAAGGTCAGGTTTGGGTATAGCCTTTTAAACGTTTTGTTTATCATGTACACTGCTTAGGATCAGGTCCCGCCATATATGGCTCAAGGCATGGGTACACAAAAAGGGATAGGTTCCTTATTAGAAAGGAAAAAGGGGCATGTATCATTGTTAAAAGGATAATTATCAGAGGTGAAAAGGGCACTGACCATACATGAAAACAGGCACTTATGAGAATGAAAAAGGGGCACTAATGATAAAGGGAAATGTGCATTTGTTGAAAGAAAAGGGACACCGATCAGATTTCAATAGGGGCATTTATCGGAGGTGAAAGTTTTTTTTTATGAGAAGGGGGAAGTGGCTCTTATTAAAAAGAAAAAGAGGCACATGTTAAAATAAACGGGGCATTTATCAAAGATGAAAAGGGGTAATTATGAGAAGGAGAAGGGGCACTAATAAGAAGGAAAAAGAGGATTTATAATGAAGGAAAAGGGGGACGTGTAAAAAAAGGGGGCATTTATAAGAGATGAAAAGAGCACTTATCTGAGGGAAAGAGCACTTGTCAAAATTAAACGAGTATCTCTCAGAATTGAATAGGGTCATTTACAAGAAATGAAAAGGGGCACTTATGAGGATGAAAAGGAACTATTTTCATAGATGAAAAGGGGCATTTATGAGAAGGGACAGGAGCTCTTTTTTAAATGGGGGCACTTAGCATAGGGAAAAGGGGCACTTATTAAAAAGGATAGGGGCACATGTGAAAATATAAGGTGCGCTTATCCGAGTTAAAAACGAGTAGTCATTAAAAGGCGAAGGGGCACTTTTTGCAAAGGGAAAGGGGAACTTGTCAAAGCAAACCTCTCAGATTTGAATAGGGCGATTATCAGAGATGAAGTGGGCGCTTGTCAAAAGTGAAAAGGGGTGCTTCTCGTACCTGAAAAAGGTAACTTAATAGAGATTTTTAAAAAGCACTTATTTATGAGAATGGAAAATGGACACTTATTTCACTGGAAAATGGGAGCTCTTCAAAGGAAAAAGCCAGGGGTACGTGTCAAAATAAAAGGAGGACTTATCAGAGGTGGAAAGAGGAAGGGGCACTTAAAAAAAATAATAGGGGCACTTGTCAAAGTAAAAGGGGCACTTTTCTTATGTATAAAGGGGCACTTCTTACAAAGTTAAAGGGGCACTTTTCCTATGTTAAAAGGGGCACTTATAGGGTACTTGAAATATGCCCCCTGCCCCCTACCCCCCCCCCCAGCTCCCGCATCTGCCAGAAGAGACATGCAGAACTAGACCAGTAGTGCGTTAATTTTTGCCAATCCTGTCATCTTTACTCTTACACTCAATAATATATGTGACACTATAAAAAGTATAATTTTGAAATTTGTTATACAGTGCGTCCCAAAAAAAACTATACACTTTTGAAATGGCTGCCAAATAAAAAAAATATATGATTTTTGGGGAAAAGTTGTATATGTATGGAAAGCTCATAAACCCAACGTTCATATGACACCAAAAGGTCCAAAATAATTCATGCTTGGGTGAGCACTGCTCACTTTTGTACAGGGTATGGAAATTAGGTTGCGCAGGAATTAGCCTTCCAATTTGTGAGAGGTAAATCCTTTGGAGCTTACAAAATTGAGGGTGATATGATACATTCATGATTTGCTGAGTGAATTTCATGGTCTATTAAACCAAACTTTTATGCATGAGTGAACAGGAATTGCATTTTTATTGTAGCATTGTAAATTTCCCTGGTAGACTCGGTGGTGTGTTCATGGGAGTCAGGATGGAGTGATGGTACATGTTGTAATTTCCGTGTTACAAACTGTTATTTCTTTTTTTACATCTGTGACTGTGAATAAAAACCTTCACTAAGATTGTGCATCGAAAGAGGAGGTGGACATATGGGCCATTGTTTCCATTTTCAGATATTTTCTCCCCTTTTTTCTCTTACAAGATAGACGAAACAGTTGTAAAATTGAAAACTGACATGTTCATTTTACAAACTTGTGAATTTGTGTTTAACTGTACCGTATTTCTTGTGCGAAACTCAAGTGCTAAAATGACTGGTTGGTTGGTTGATAGATTGAGTGATTGACTGACTTATTGATTAATTATGATCGATTTATTGAATGATTAAATTGATTGAAATACTAAATGGTGATTGAATGCTTGATTGATTAATTGATTGGCCGATTGACTGATACATTGTTGATTAAGTAATAGCTGAATGTTGATTGTCTAATGAATTGTCAAGATATGCACAAGCATACCCGGGCAGAGAGAGAGAGAGAGAGAGAGAGAGAGAGAGAAAGAGAGAAGGGGGAGGGGCATACATGTCCTCTTGACCCTTATCCAATCTACCCAACAAAGTCCTACCCTACATTTCACCTCCCCTGTACCATGTACCATCACCCCGTCCTGACTCCCATGAACACACTGAGTCTACCATGGAAAGTTACATTGCTATACGGTAATAACAAATGCAATTCCTGTTCACTCATGATCATGCATACAATTTTAATCCCATGAACCACAAATTTCACTTAGTAAACCCAAACTCATCACAATTGATCATAAAGTGGTCATATTATTCTCAATTTCATAAGCTCCAAACTCCAAAGGATTTACCTCTCACAAATTGGAAGGCTAACCTGCGCAAACTAATTTTCATACCCTTTACAAAAGTGAGCAGTGCTCACCCAAGCATGAATTATTTTCGAACTTTTTGGTGTCATATAGAAGTTGGGTTTATGAGCTTTCCATACATATACAACTTTTCCCTAAAGAATATTATATTTTTTTATACGGCAGCCATTTCAAAAGTGTATAGTTTTTTTTGGGACGCACTGTAGATGTCTAGACTTCTATCCAATGTTATAAAAGTAAAAAAGGCACGACCGTGCACCACTTCCGGTCTCATGTCACCGACTTTCTGGACATCCGACGCCTGGATCCGACGGCGGTATGTTGTTGTATTTTGTGTAGAGTAATAGGATATTATTGTATAATCTTAGCACTGTGATAAAGCAGGAGACAAAGACTCAAGAGAGACATATAAATTTATTATTATAGATTAGTATGATCTGACATTCTGACGCTAAATAGTCTATAACCTTTTTTTCGGCCGTATTTATTTGCTCAGTCCCACGCGATGTTTTTTGTGTTGCAAAATTCAGGGGTAACAAAGAAGAAGAAGAAAAATTCACAACAAATTTGCAAATGTATGCAGGAATGAATGAATGGCACTGAGCTACTGATCTGATACTGATACTAGCTGATGTCATGTCATGGTGTTGACTGTTGATTAGACCGAAGTTTCTGTCTCTTTCGTTCGTTAGCCTCTGATTTGGGTAAGGTCGGGTCGGCTCACCCTAGACCGAATTTTCCGTCTCTTTCGTTCGTTAGCCTCTTATTGGGGTAGGGTCGGCTCTCTCTTTAGAGACGGAAACCGTCTATACACATTCCCTTGATAACGCCACGGCCATTTCAGGTCGTATTGTTATGCCCCCAAAATCCCCCAAAATGTCATTTTACCTCGTGTAGACTAGTCTAGATCTATATCCAATTGTAAATTACTAGGCTATAATACATCGGTTACACTTACTAACTTGACTGAAATAATCCGTTTAATGGTCCCTTTTAAGAATATTATGGGTCAAAATCGACATCCATGTTGAAAATCCTGCAAGCCGTGTTAAACTCTCGCTGCACACGGAGTCATCTAAATCAATCTCATCCCTTCTAGTCTACGCCGAAGGCAAAACGATTATGAAGGAAAAACTGTGATAACGCCATTACGAATGTGTAGATGGCGCACAGTTTTTCCTTCATAATCGTTTTGCCTTTGGCGTAGACTAGAAGGGATGAGATTGATTTAGATGACTCCGTGCGCAGCGAGAGTTTAACACGGCTTGCAAGATTTTCAACATGGATGTTGATTTTGACCCATAATTTCCTTAAAAGGGACTATTAAACGGATTATTTCAGTCAAGTTAGTAAGTGTAACCGATGTATTATTATAGCCTAGGCCTAATTTACATTTGGATATACACGAGGTAAAATGACATTTTGGGGGATTTTGGGGGCATAACAATACGAACTGAAATGGCTGTGGCGTTATCAAGGGAATGTGTATAGACGGTTTCCGTCTCTAAAGAGAGAGCCGACCCTACCCCAATAAGAGGCTAACGAACGAAAGAGACGGAAAATTTGGTCTAGGCTCACCCCCTACCTACATGTACCCAAATCAGAGGCTAACGAACGAAAGAGACAGAAACTTCGGTCTAGGTGTTGATCACTGTTGATTAGAAGTCCATGGCATGATTGATGATGATGATGATTCAATGATAAGATTCAGAACAATTGTAACATATTAAATGTAGGCTAGACTAGTATAGGTCAAGATTACAATAATGTATGCAACTATTAAAGGGGTGATTGCAAAACTATTCATTAAAACTAACTTGAGACGAGTTCTACATTTCCAGTGACATGATGACATTGAAATTGAAATCTTCAAATTTGTAATCTTGGATAGATCTAGTGTTTGCAATGATTTAATGTCCTTACCTAGTGAATACTGTTTTTTGGTGAATGATTCTCACAGTCGAGAGATTATAAAAACAAGCAGTTGAATCTCAGACTGAAGTAGTCCAGAGAAAGTTATTCTGGGGTTTCATGGAATGCTGTTAGTGTTGACGCTCGTTAACTATTGGCACATGCACCCTATCCTATCCTTGTAACACACACTACACCAAAGTTCTGCAAGAATCTTCAAGATTGAAGGAACCGTCAAGGGTCAAGGAAGTAGACTGCACCAAAGAAGAAGAAGAAGAAGAATATGTTCCATCTATCCTCATGTATCTGATCTATTATAGTTCAAGTTGACTATGTATTCTAATTATATATTTCAAACTTCAAAGAAAATTATACTTGTAATAATTCAAAAAATATATACCTTCTCATTTTGACCTGCATGAAATACCAACCCTCCTTCCTTAAAAGAAAACAAGATGATAGTAGGATTGTCAAATTAGCACCCATGTTGATGTACATGGTCATGTAACTTATATGATGATGTCTTGTTTTTTATTTTCCATTTCAGATAGGAATCCATCCATCAACACCATGCTATTAGCTGACCGGTGAAGGTGGACTCTATCTAGCAATGTTCCTGCGTCACAGCTTTGAGTGATCTGTGTTAAGAGTCCTAGAGCTTTAATCGCATCTGTGTGATAGTTGATGTAGGAGTTGAACACCATGTGGAAATATCTGCGCTATGTTCGTGGAAAACTGGACAGGAGTAAAAACTCTGTATGGGGTAGAAAGGCTTCCATTGGGTATGCACTAGGAACATGGACACTTCTAGGAATATTCTTTATCAAGTGGAAACAGAATCACTTTGAGCTACCACAATTACCAGCTATGCCAGAGGAGGAGAAAGCGGAGCTTATAGCACAGCTGAGATTAGAGCAGAAAAAGAGTGAGTCTAGATCTAAATGTTATGATTCAACATCAGTAGAATTACAATACATGTTTGATCTACCTGTAGTTCATGTCATTTATGCAGTTTAATAAATAAAACTTTGATTAATGGGGGATTATGTGAAAATAAAAACTGCCAATAACTTTGTCCTCCCAACAAAATGACAATCATTATTATCAAAATAAGAGCTAGTTTAATTATCCCTATAATGCCTATTTTCAGACCTCATTTAAGTATTGTACCAAAATCTGAGAAACTGAAGAATTAATGTATGTAAAGAATGTCAAGTAACTCAAGTTTATGTCCATGTCATGCTTATTGATATTCATAATCTTTCTTCTTTTTTCCATTCATTTTCTACAGAAAGTGAAGAAATCTCTCTCCATGTTGCAGAGAATGTCTACACACCACTTGATTTTATGTCATGATGACTTCTGCTACCTTTTAGGTACCTCAAATTAATAAAGCTCCCAACTTTAAATGGCCAATGGGGCTCTTTTCTTTGTTTTTGTTTATTTTATGACATGATAAAAAGATTCATGCTTTTGCTGTGATAGCAATCACATCTTATCTGAAGGGGATTTTAAGATTGTATGCTGGTACATACACAAGTTCTGATCCGAGAATACTACTTTAGTTTCTTACCATAAGCCTTTAATACACATGTAGTAAAAGTTTTTAAGCAAGTACCACTGAGCAATTCACAAGGTATTTAGTTTGTTTGTTGAATTTGTTCAGATTAATAATCCTCTGTACTAAGATGAACTATATATTCTTCCCAATTATGGGAAGTTTTCTGAGTATCTCCATTAAACCAAAGAGGAATGGTAAAATTGTTAAAGAATTGCTTCATATTCCTCCAATCTTAAGATACATACATTTTATTAGTTGTATAATAACCAGTTTTTGTGCTGAAATATTATTTAGATGACTTTGTGAATAAACTGTGTTAGTAGTTTATCAATTAATCCTGTCGGTGTGTAAATATGTTGTAGTTGGCTATGGACTTACCATGGCTTGTGCCACCATTGTGAATTAACCTAGATCGATATATCAAGAATCCCATTCCCTTTCTTGACAGGAGTCGATATTGACATATTAATGTAGTTAGGGGAATTCCCTTTCAAAGTAAGAAATTAATACAGCAGGGCTCCACAATAATCTTTTTGGTTGTGAGTCTGGATTAAAGTTTTTACAGCCTTTACACTACTGACTCAAAAAAAGTTGAATTCTGAGATAAGTTTTAAAGGTTACATGTAGCTGTTGTTTAAGGGCTACAAAAAAAGTCCATGAAATGATGAAATATTACTTTTATATTATTCAAACCAGGAGCTGTTTTCAAATCTTGAATTACCAATTCATCCCAAAATGTCTTCTGAAAATTCTCCTAGGGATATCTACCTAATTACCATGTGCATAATTGATGTGTTAATGCATTAATGCCATAAGGATTACTTGTAGGTCAAAAGAGGGACTTTAAATCACTGGAGTCGTCTTGGTTGAACATGTCTATCAGCTGCTGATTAATTTCTGCCTGGACAGAAACATGATGAGCTGAAATCCTTTGTGACTTGTCAGACTTGGATGCACCATACACAGCCCAACCCAACAATGTTCTAAATGCAAATGGACCATCGGGCTCACTGTGAATAACTTCCAGCGGTTCTGACGCTTTTGGGATATTATTTCTGATTAATATGCCCACATCCTCGTCAATCTCTGGCAACTGAATATGGTGGAGGTACGGATACTGCTTCAATTGAGCTTGAGTGGGAGTTTCTTCTTTCCCGACTGGAATAGACTTGGCTTCCAAATTTCTGCAAGTCTCCAAATCATGCGATGACACCTTGCAGTAAAGACAGTATTTGCCAGTTGACCTTTCTTGCCTTTGACTGGAAATGTTTATAGAAAAGCCTTGCCTTTCATTCCTTGGTTTCTAGGTTGGCTTACATTGGAATCATATGTGTTGTGTCAGTTCTTCTTTGTGGCCCTTTGATAATGTCCCCCGTACACAGGGTTAGATACTACACAAGCTTCCTTGGCCACAAACGTCACAACATCAACAAACTGAATACACTTTCCCTTTTCTTCCTGGATGTAGTCAGCAGTAAGAGGTCATTTCTCCTTTAGGCGATACAGCAACTTGGAGATGACCATCTTGATATTGTTGGAATGATCTATTTCATTGCACTGTTTCAAATCCTTGGCAGTGTTCAGCAACTCTGTCAAGCAGTGTGAAAGGTTATTGAGCTTCCCTGCATCATCTGTCTTTATTTCTGACCACTCCTCCATGCGCTTGATTATGACATTCTTGATCCTATATCTGTTGCCATTATTCTTCTGAAGTACATCCTTGTCCTGCCTGTACCATTGTATTAGCTTCACCTCTGGTGAATCGTTTTAAGTAACACAACCTGTCTCTGGGATTGGTTTAATGAATTGATCTTTATTTCATTCATCATAAAACATCATAAAAAAACATATAAGATACAAAACATAGCGTACAAGTTAAAGAGACACATTTACAATAGAATACAACAACAAAAATGTCATATGAATGTGGAGACAGCTAGGAAAGCCAAAGGTATTGTAACGGGTCTCCATTGAATGGTGACAAAGTTCTTTGAGGTAATGATGCTCTCTGGTGGCACTCCACAAGAACCTTGGTGAGGTCATTTTGTCTTTGTATCACATCAGTTTGTTACATTAAATATGCTGATAGGTCAAACACGGACCGATTCTCATCTAGTGCATTATCAGCATGTTGGTTTGTTCTCTCAAGGGGTACAGAGGAAGGAGAAATGCTTTTGTTCTTTGCCCTCTCCACTGCTCTTTCAATTAACTCTGCTCATTTTATGTGTACACATACCTATGCCATCCCTCGGCTCGATCTTGATCAACGCGATTGTCATCACACATGTTACACATAGCACAAAAATGATTCAACCTGAACATGTCCCATCGTTTCCATTATAGTTGTAATACCGGTAATCACTTCCGATTAACATATTGAAGAGATAATTAAAAGAGGTCATGAAGATGGAGTTTACTTTATGCCTTTTATGGAGCTTATGAAGGTTGAAAATTGGTAGGCCTTCCTAAATTCTTCCAACAACTACAAATTTGTCTCCCTAGCTCACTGTTTTCTTCTTATCTCCTGCAGAGGGCCTTAAATGCAATTTCTGCCAATAACAATACACATTACCATATTCCTCTCAACTGTGCCAGAACAGTCTGGTTGTCATTGTAATTAACTTAACTGAGCTTTCAGAATACCTATCAGCTAATGGATTTCTGAGATTACAATTCTTGATTTTATCATTAAAACTTGTTTTTGAATAAAGTTTTAGTTCAGTACAGCAGAGTTATGCATGATTTATTAATTTGCCAACGGCATGATTCCATCTTTGATGGGTTGTCTGATAAGCATAGGATACGGGAAGGTTAATAAAACACTGTAAAATAGCGATGATGTAAGTTTGGAGTGTTTCACTTGCCTCCAGTTAAATATTTAAAACTGAATAATTGTAATACCATATTGTGAACATGAAAAATCTGAAATGCAATTTGAATAATGAAAATATATTTCTCATGGAATTTAGTTGTTTGTCATGGAACTTAAATTGGAGGGAGAAGAAAGAGATGGGTGTGGGACAATGCAGTAGAAGGAGGGACCGGGAGACAAAGGTGAAGACAGTAGATGAAGAGAGGAATAAAGAAAATGCATGGTAAAGGAGAGGAAAAGAGATGGTAAAGGAAAGAAAGAGAGAGAGAGGCACACACATTCATGCAGAAGCAAGGGAGAGAGAGAGAGAGAGAGAGAGAGGGAGAGATAAAATGCCTTGACAATGAGGTAATCAGACGATGGAGGTGGATCAGAAAAGAAGGTTGATATATCATACCATCGATTTATCACAATAGGTCCATGATCATACCATACAAAGCATTTTTGTTTCGTCAAAATACTCTTCAAAATAAAGAGAAGTACAAATTACATTTTATTTTCACACTTTATTGCAATGACAAAAACTTAATTCTAAATTAAAGTCTGTTCTTGTGCATTAGTGAACCTCTAATAATTTGAAGGAGGAAAAAAAGCAGAATAGTGGTATTTTTCCTAGAAGGGTACATGTCTTCATTGAAAACTGGAAACTGATTATTTTAAGAACATATGTATTGTAAGTTTCATTCCACAATATATTCTTTATCAACAGTTAAATATGAGCATCACAAAAGATTTTTTTTTTTTAAGTGTTACAAATAGAGGGCTAATTCAGTGTGGATCCTCTTTCAAAAGAAACTTCATTAACATCTGTTTCATTTCAATACCTTTATTCACCAACCAAATGACTGTTACACTGTTTTTCTTGTCTTTCAAACTCTCTGCTAGTATTAAACACCCCACAAAGTGTTTAACAAGCAAGATACATGTAGTTAAACAGCTCTACTGACAACTTGTTATTTACTCTACATACAGCCTTTTCAATTTAGTAGGATAAATCCATGGAATATGGAATGCACTTATATATGCATTAATAGATTTACAAACAGATTGCAAATAGTCTCACAAATGAATAATACCCCATATCGCTCCTTTCCACATGATACAAAGTAATTTAAGCATGGATTAGCTTTACAATTTCCCATCTTGAAAATCAAAATGATAATCTTGCTCAAATCTTGAATTGAGCTGCCAATAAGCAGAAAAAGTTTTGTGATAACTTTTCAAAGGTATTACCGGTATGTTTGCAAAGCATACTAGGCGGTGTCGCACAGAAAAATCCTGACCCATCTTGAATAAACCAGATTTTAGAAATCTATTTTTTTCATTTACGTCAGTGACAGACAGGCTACAAATAATCTGGATAACTAAAATCTCATTAAATGCGCGCTAATATAATTGTGCACAGGTTATGATAGCTCGTTAAAAACCACATGGCAGCCAATCACTAAGTCAAACGTTGACCTTACACTGTCCTTATTTCAACATTGGTGTCAGACAGAAAAACTGCTTAAAAAATCCTTTGAAAAATACTTTCAAGGGAGAATTTTCTTGTTTCGTTTTTTTAAAGGGATAATTGATGACAGACAGCCAATTAAGAGGATAACTAAAATCCGGATTTTTTTTTGCCTCTGTCTGACACCGCCTAATGTCTGATTCACATAACAAGCTAATTAATGCCCTGATAAATTTGGACGGCCATGAATATCTGACGAATGGAGGTTATGAGCGCTAGAAAGAGACCAATAAATTATTATAAAATGCTTTCACGACAAACCTTAACCTACACTTCGCCATCCTTGAACCCCAAGTAGCCATTACTAATCATTATGAAACACATCATGTTGTCTTGCTATGAACACAATATTATACAAAAAAGACAGAGAAAGGCCAAATTTATGCAGATTACACTCTAAAATAGTAGGATGTCAAGAGTGTCTTAAAAACATCATGAATGCAATTCCAGATCTAAAACTTCTACACGCATATTTCAAACAGAAATAGGATGTAAAAGTTACAACACAATCTTTTAAATGTAAGCAACAAACAATTCTATCCGACAAGGTTAATATTGTATCGTTAAGTCTTACCTACTTGTACCAGAAACTCTTTTTCGCACATGTATGTTGTAACACGACTTATACCGACCTCTAAATCCCCACCTAATGGAGTGGTTTTTTTGTCCTCTACAATACAAGGTTGAATCTCTCGAGTCTAGATTCGATATAACCCCCAAAATGTCAGCCTTTCAAGGCATTAGCTTATACCGAGTTATAACAGCTTATACTCGGTTTCACTGAGTGTAGTGAAATCCCATTCCAGCTACACAAGGCTTATGCTTTAGAGATAATCACATATACCAGGCATATGTCTACATGCTGTAACATCACAAAGAGGGCTACATGGATTATAGATATTGGAATGACTAATTCTTTAACAAATTTGGGGGAGCCTTACCATTCTAAATGATCTATTGAAACAAGTTTTCTTCATAAACATACCGGTATTCACTATTTGGCAATTTTTAATTGCTCACGTTAAATAAATGTCTAATTTCTTGTCGCTCTATATATCAAGATTGCACACAAAAATACATGGTGTCATGATAAAATAATACAGTAGATATTTACAAGAGGATCCTAAAATGCATTGGGCCAATTATCAGTGCAATTTGTATATATTCTTTAAATACCAGTATATACATAATTTGAACTTATAGCAATCATATGGTATATTGTCATCCAATTAGCAAATATATCCATCATGTACATGAATATCAAAATGGGCAACTTGGCAAACTGTTTCCAACGTGAAATAAGTCTATTGTCCATTCGTTATCCTGATATGAAAAATATATTTGATGTGACAATCCTCTATTGAATAGCCTTTCTGTTATCACTGAATAATGTTCAAATAGGAAATCACCAAGATACCAATTTAAATCTTTTAAATGTTTTATTTTAAATACACAAATCAATCATTAATTCATTTAATTAAGAACTAGAACAATTAGGAACTTCATTTTCAAGGTGATAAATAGTGACAGATGATAGTGAATACGATACAATCTGCATACCGACTGAAGATTTCCATCAATATGAAGGTGTACTTCATATACAGTGTACGTTAACTAATATACAGCTCCCACCAGACTATGGGTTTCCTTGTTCCTGCACAGTGTACACATCCTATGTATCCTGTAAATCTAAAAACTGATAAGTCCAGTCTCCTCTCAAATGGAATACAAGGTTTCTTGAGGGGGTGTCATTGATTAAAAAAGAAACTATATCCTGTAGCTGTTGCCTGATTAAAAGCTCCAATATGAAGGCATCTATGAGAGACCATGACTGAGAGCATTCATTATCAGACATGCAGATACAAACTGAAGATGAATGAAAGCACATATGCTAAGAAGAGAATTATCTAAATGGCCTTACATTTACTCCCCATCAAACAGCAACAACCTAAACCATCAAAATATTCCTGTGGTTAATTAATCCTTGAAAGGGCAGAGGCACTATCTTGTTATCCAACTATACAACAAAGTCTTCCAATATGACATCAACAAGTTCAGTCCGGTAAGCTCTCGAAGGAACATGTCGATAGATAAACTGGAACAACATACTCTTAGAGCAAAGCAAAATGTTTCTTGAGTTGAGAGAAGAGCTCCATGGAATCACAATGCTCTGGATAGGACTCTACTGCCTTCTTCACTGAACCGTAGCTGCTCTGTAGATCACCAACCTGAAACACAAACAAGGATATAATTATGTCTTTAATACAGGCAATGTACAATTTCAGCAAAAGTGAAGGAACACTGTGGTCCTGTTCATACGTTTGAATACTTATAAATTCTTACAAAGAGTTTAATACAAAATAGGTGAAAACATTGTAATTTAGACCAGTACAGTCTAATATTTTACTCATTTATATCTCAACTTTGCTTATGAATTACTCTACTTCAAATTTGGGGGAGCCTTACCATTCTAAATGATCTATTGAAACAAGTTTTCTTCATAAACATACCGGTATTCACTATTTGGCAATTTTTAATTGCTCACGTTAAATAAATGTCTAATTTCTTGTCGCTCTATATATCAAGATTGCACACAAAAATACATGGTGTCATGATAAAATAATACAGTAGATATTTACAAGAGGATCCTAAAATGCATTGGGCCAATTATCAGTGCAATTTGTATATATTCTTTAAATACCAGTATATACATAATTTGAACTTATAGCAATCATATGGTATATTGTCATCCAATTAGCAAATATATCCATCATGTACATGAATATCAAAATGGGCAACTTGGCAAACTGTTTCCAACGTGAAATAAGTCTATTGTCCATTCGTTATCCTGATATGAAAAATATATTTGATGTGACAATCCTCTATTGAATAGCCTTTCTGTTATCACTGAATAATGTTCAAATAGGAAATCACCAAGATACCAATTTAAATCTTTTAAATGTTTTATTTTAAATACACAAATCAATCATTAATTCATTTAATTAAGAACTAGAACAATTAGGAACTTCATTTTCAAGGTGATAAATAGTGACAGATGATAGTGAATACGATACAATCTGCATACCGACTGAAGATTTCCATCAATATGAAGGTGTACTTCATATACAGTGTACGTTAACTAATATACAGCTCCCACCAGACTATGGGTTTCCTTGTTCCTGCACAGTGTACACATCCTATGTATCCTGTAAATCTAAAAACTGATAAGTCCAGTCTCCTCTCAAATGGAATACAAGGTTTCTTGAGGGGGTGTCATTGATTAAAAAAGAAACTATATCCTGTAGCTGTTGCCTGATTAAAAGCTCCAATATGAAGGCATCTATGAGAGACCATGACTGAGAGCATTCATTATCAGACATGCAGATACAAACTGAAGATGAATGAAAGCACATATGCTAAGAAGAGAATTATCTAAATGGCCTTACATTTACTCCCCATCAAACAGCAACAACCTAAACCATCAAAATATTCCTGTGGTTAATTAATCCTTGAAAGGGCAGAGGCACTATCTTGTTATCCAACTATACAACAAAGTCTTCCAATATGACATCAACAAGTTCAGTCCGGTAAGCTCTCGAAGGAACATGTCGATAGATAAACTGGAACAACATACTCTTAGAGCAAAGCAAAATGTTTCTTGAGTTGAGAGAAGAGCTCCATGGAATCACAATGCTCTGGATAGGACTCTACTGCCTTCTTCACTGAACCGTAGCTGCTCTGTAGATCACCAACCTGAAACACAAACAAGGATATAATTATGTCTTTAATACAGGCAATGTACAATTTCAGCAAAAGTGAAGGAACACTGTGGTCCTGTTCATACGTTTGAATACTTATAAATTCTTACAAAGAGTTTAATACAAAATAGGTGAAAACATTGTAATTTAGACCAGTACAGTCTAATATTTTACTCATTTATATCTCAACTTTGCTTATGAATTACTCTACTTCAAGAGAAAATACTTGGCAGCAGCTTAGAATTGAGTTACTCTTGCTGCATTAAGATCACAAAAACTCAATAAAAAGTGAATGTACGTTGGAGAGTCACCAATAATTGTATCTCAATTTGTATATACACATTTTTCAATTTTTTTACAAGATGCTTCAAAACAGCTACCGGTTATTACACTTTTCACAATTTCTCATCAACAATTGTCATTACAAGAAAAGGTAACAGAGGAGGGAAATGAAAGAGAGGGGAAAAGGGAGCATGAGTAGAAGGGGAATGATAAGAGTAGTGAAGGAAAACAAAGCAATTATGGTCAACTTACCTGATCTGAAAGTGATGCAAAATTATAGTGTGGCTCAAACATGTGAGGTGCTAGCATCTGAGCTGCCTGGAAAAATGCTCTCGACTAGGATAGAAGAAACGAGTTAACAATCATTAAACAATTACAGCACAAAAAAGATGATTCCATAAGACTTATTCTATTTATATACTTATTATTTTTTAATCAATGGGCAACTCTTGGTTTTCTACCTGCAATAATGTGACCTATTTATATGAACCTTGAATATATTCAACAAGTATTTCCAGTAATACAGAAGTAAATGTGTTTTTAACATATATAGACACCGTTGGATTATTCATGGTAGGTACAAGATAAAAAATCTTTTCAACTAACTAACCTTTTATTTCACATATATTAAGAAAACACTTGTATTCCAACCACAGCAAATATTAAAACTGTTGACATTAACCTGTACCTAAATCATTCTCCGTATTTAAATCAATTACATCTTACACTTAATTCAGCTGACCTTGATATTTCATTACTCAGACTAATTGATACAGAACTTTCAATATTTGGTAGGAGATGATGAATGGGGTTACCTGGTCGACATGTCCTTTGCGTAACTCCAATACTCCTAGGTTGTTATAAGCCTCTGCATGGTCGTTGTTTGATGTAAGAGCCAATCTGAAACACTGTAGAGCTAAGCCAGTATCACCAATACCCTGAAAAAATAAAATAATTGTTTCAGATGCTTCTTGCTTTCTGCAAACCAGAAACCTTTTGTTTACTTCGCAAAATTATATTTTAAAATACAAAAAATATACTATGCAGAGTAATTTTCTAGAAACAGTGACATTATTTTAATTAATGCGCAATATTTCCCAACTTGAATGCTCTAATATTTCTCACAAAATGTATTGCAGGTTCTTGCGTGATTGAAAATCTGTTATATGTAATGACAATTCAAGCAATCAACCTAAATAATTCCATCATTCTCTTACAGAAGAAAAATGGTCACACTATAAAATTTGGAATTACTGAAAAATGCTTAATTAGAGTTGTTAGAACAGTATTTATATTGACCAATGAATAAAATTGAACATCTCAGCATTCATTAGGTACTCAAGTATCTTTAAAATAAGAAAATCAAATCTTTAACATGTACACATGTTGCAGTTAGGTAAAGCACTTAGAAACAGCATGTATATTATTAAAGTGATATATAAATTTTGGTTATGATTATGATTTTTTTTTTAAATACGAAAATACATACCATTGCAACTTGACCAACATTGTACCAGATGTCAGCTGTGGTGGCATCATCACCAGAGAGTGATAGCGCCCTCTCGAATGACGTCAGTGTCATGTCATACTGCTGTGCATAGAAGCAGCATAAACCTAGGTTGTTGTATAGTTCTGCATTGTATACACCCATCTGCAGTAATCTCCTGTTAAATAAAACAGTTCCTTCATTAAATGTTGCATGTTCGTTTGAAGAGACGAACCAAATCCTTCCAAAGTTAAATGATAGCCATCTCAGGAGTTGTGTCAGCAATATGTGAAATGAGTGGATGTAAACAGAAACGTATAACAGTAGTAATGACATGCGACATCACATGGCAGAAATGTCTTTTACGTCATTGGCAACAGGAACTGAAGATACTGCTTACATAGAATAAGTGAGAAATACTGCATGATTTTTGTTTTAACTATGCGAGAGCAGAATAGTTGAAAAAGATAAATGCACAGAATGTCTATAAAAGGAACATATTGCATTTACTATACATAATAATCTCCCTGAAGTATTTTGTTATTATCTACTGATCAGTATAGGCATTCAAATTTGTTTACAAGTTTATCAGTGTGCTCATTAGGTTGTTGGACTTATAAAACGTTGCTGAAAGTACAACAAATATCTTTTGTTTCCTTTTCCTTTAGTGATGGAACTTTTTACGGTAATTTTTAGGAAACTTTAGAAAATTTTAAATTGAAGCTTTCAACAATTAATATCTAGAGCTATGATGATACGAGAAACATAGGAAATCACATCTCCCGAATCCATTTTTTGTTTGCTCAGGGCCCTGTCTTACAAAGAGTTGCGATGAATTGATCCAAATCAATCGCAAGTCCTCTAATCAATCGCAAGTTGGCAATCTCCTATCTCTTATGTACATAGTTGCGATTAATATCAACTCTGGATAGAAGGATGACATACCTGTAGTATCTTAGCCCTATCTCAGGTTGATCAGAGTAGAAGTGGTAGTTTGCAATGCATGCTATAGCTTCAACATGTGTGTTATCATGCTTCAACACATCCTTGTAGTATTTCACTGCATTCACCAGGTCATTCATGGCCTACAGAAATTAAAATTAATAAAAAAATATATTAAAAAAAACATTAAAAAAAACAAAAAATAATAATCAATTTTTCTTTTTCATCATTTTAGTGGATATATATTAAATAAATTGACATCAGCTTAGATAATAGTTACTTATCTTGATTGCATGACCTCCATTACTTTCAAAGATAATTCTTGTCACGTTGTGTCATTTTGCAACCTAATTATTGTATGTACTCACATAAACTTCATCAAGAGTTCCAACATTTTGCACGACATTGAGGTGAACATTGATTTCCATAAATTTTGCATTATACTAATAACACAAAACTATGACGTGTATAATTTTGAACTTGAGAGCAACTTACAGGACATATGAAAACGTTCTTGTGACACTCAATTTAGAAATCAGTAGGTTTCTGTGACACTTGGCTTGAAAAATGACTGCATTTACAGTGATGCAACATGTTTACCTCATATATTCTGGCGATGCCTGTCAGTAGAGTAGTCTCACTGGGAAACTTTTCCAGACCCTGTTTGTAGATTTCAACAGCAGTCAATGGCTGATCCAACCTCACATAAACTTTACACAGATAGAGGTAGACATCTATGCCTTCTTGCTGCTTCATAGCCGACTTGAACTGACTCTCAGCATCACGGTACAACCCTAACCTGATTCAAGGTAAACAAAACAACCAAAATAAGGCTTTATTGCATGGCCGAGTACAATTCAACACCTGCTTACTGGTATATCAAATAGGACAGAACTGTAGCAGTGTCATATGCACATACCAGGTTACTTATTCCATGAAGCAAGGCATTGCAAATTGCAGCCCACAAATGGCAGGGAATGAGTTAAAGTATAAACGTTATACCATCACAATGATCAGGATAGGTATTTAAGATGAGACAGCAGTGGATATGGTACAGCCATGTTTTAAGTGAATGGGTAAACTGTCGATCAACACAACAACAGTCTAACAGAAGAGGACCCCTGTTGTGAATACACACATAACAAAATGTGTTATGCTGGGAGTCCTAAACTAGTGTAATATCTCACAAATAGTGATACTACAGATTCTAAAAAGGTGAGAAATTAACTTGTGAAAAGTCCCTTCCGACTCCCATCCCCCATCCCCCTCCCCAAATAATATTCATAGCTTTCACATCTCTTCAACAAATTGCTAAGTTTTGTTGTTATGATTTACCTGTAGTAACACTTTCCAAGCTGAACCTTCCACCACCAATCTTTGAATTGACACGCTTCAGTAGCCTTGGCTGCTAGCTCTAATGCATTCCTCACATCATTCTCATGATGGAAAATGTATTCAAATAAGGCCTGGAAACAAGGAATAAAGTGTAAAGATAGTATGAATAAAATCTTAATAATAATGATTTAACTGATGAAGCAACTTGTAATTCAAGATGAGTTTATGGGGGGGGGGGGGGGGGGGGGGGGTGATCTTAAAATAGAGGATGAGTGGAGCAACAAAATGAAATCATATTTTTCCTCCATTTCATTTGTAGTGAAATTTCTGCACGACAAAAAAAGCTTTGTATTCACTAAAAGAATGTTGGGGCTCTTTAGAGGCCAAATAATAGATGAGTATGTCGGTAGTAATGAACGCAAATCACTCTTGGCCCAAACGTAAACTTTAAGCATTAATTGCCCTTAGCTGTAGATCTACTACTAGAACACTACAAGCATGCATAGGCAGATGCTTTTAGAATACTTCAAGAATACTACTAGCATGGGTACGCAGACATGATACCATTTTCAGCAACACCTGCAGTGGTTATATACACCTGTATGTATCAGAAGTTGAAATGCTGTTAACCCTTTCGCAATTAACAATCATTACACATTTTGTGGTTTGGCTAAATAACTTTTAATTCAGAGCAAAACAAAATATACCACATACATGAGTAAAAGGGGGTAAATGTCTGCACACACTGTATCCATTTTGTTACATGACCATATTTTGTTCAATGCTAAGAGTTCTATAAAGGAAAATTTAAATAGGCAACAGGTTGAAAGATTAAAATCAGTGTATTGGCTATTTTTCCAACTTTTTACCTTAGTTAATTCCTACCCATGTATTTGTGTTCAGAGACATTACATTTCATTACAACAATGTAGCAATAAAGAGAAATATATTTGTTGCCAATTTAAAGAACAATATCACATTATTTAAAGCCCTTTAAATAAATCCTGTACTAAATGAGTATATTACCTTGGCTAGGTTTGGTCTGGCAGCATACTTTGAAAAGTTCAACCTTGGAATGTTGATGAATGGACCGTCTGGTGTGGACAGCATAGAAGCCTGACAAATCAATCAAATAATAAGTAAATGTGAGATTCGAAGGCATAAAAAGTGGGTTTTCCTCTTGGCTGAACCAATTTTTTCTATTCTCTAATTTCCAACAACTATTTACACACCATTTCAATGAAAGCTTCATGGACATGCTCCCTTTTTGTAGACACGTTGTCAGATATGCGGTTGTGTCAATTTGAGGGCCAGGAAGTTAAAGAGTTTAAAATAGAGCCTAAAATGAATGACATACAGCCCAAACAATGATACAAGTTTACTGTACTCACTTGCACCACTATGTTCAACACTTGTCATCATGACAAATTAAACTAACCAACTTAAACATTGAATTTCCTGTACACCATCCAATTTATTCAGAATTCTTATTCTGATTTACAGATGGCTTTTCTTTTGTTTAAATAGACCGACTCTGCTTCAGTGTGCTTTTAATTGTTTGTATTAAATCAAATAAGCTCAAATCCCTGAACTTACTGTTCCAAGGCGCACAAATCTGCCTGACGCACTGGTGACAGGGCGGGCTGTGTGTGCAGTCCTAGGTGCTCTGATAGCTTGCTCCATAGTGCCTGGTCTTCCACTCTGTGTACCTGGCCTTACAAACCCACTCAAGGGCCTCCCAGATTGAGATGTAGGACGCATTCCTGCACTGGGGGCCCCTGAACCTGTACCAGGTTTCTTTAAAGAGGTGCCTGGACCTATGAGTGAAAAATTTGTACAATCACATTTGATTTGAATCATCATTTGTAACCACTAACCTTACCTTGCACAACAAAAATGGAAGAAAAAATTAAAAGAGAAAGGATTGATGGGGGAGAGAATACTTTCGAACATTAGAACGTTTTTCTTCAAATAAAATTAAAAAACTATTCTATTTTCTATTAAGTTTCTGTATTTCAAATTAGCGCTTCAAATTTATTCTCTAGATGTTCTCGACTTATGGTATATGTCTTTATTTCTTTTAAGTTGTTTGAAAAATATGATGCAGATCATTCATTCAAAAGGATATTTAACAAATCAAGATCAAGACACAAAATGTGTCTTTAGAAAGAAATGAATGGTATACTCAACCATAAAGAACATACATTTCTACGATATAATTTCTGGCTTCAAGTCACATTACAAACATTTTTGGAGTAATAATTGTAAAACCTTACGTGTTACTTGAGCGATTGAATTATCATCCATAAGCATCTCAGCAATGCCTTCTTCATCCACATCTATCTCATCTAAGTACACCTGTTCAGTCAGAGCCCTTGTCTTCAAGGACCAGGCAGCCTGATGGCAATTGGAAAACGGGAGAAAAATGTTGTAGTTGCTACATTTACAGTACGACTTATCATCATAATAAAGTACATACATAATATATCTGGAAACTCAATCAATTGAATTTATAAATCTTTCATTAGTTTCATATTACTGCAATACTGTCAGAGAAAACATTTCTAACTACAGCTTATTTTGCAAGAAGTCTCACAATTGCATAAAGTAGTTATTATTATTATTACTGCTATATGCGTTTGTCTTTGAACCTAAACACATTTAATTTTACTATGAAGAAAAAATGTAAGAAATTAAATCCTATTTCAATCTGATGCAATATAAATGACATGAATTAAGTTTCACTAAAAACATGGTCATGCAAAGTCTTGAATAATATTTCCAGGAATTCTATATAATTCTTCATTTCTGAACTGTTTTTAATATTCTCAGAAATAGATTTAATCAATAATCATAATTTGATCAATAATTTGACAAGAATCATTGACACCCCAAATGGTATGACATTTTACACAAATAGGGAAGGGGGAGGGGTAAAGACTGAATGAAGGTCCAGCATGAAGGATCTACATGTACCTGATCATAGGGATTCTTTTCTAAAAGTTGAGAGCAGACCGTTACACATTCCTCAAACTTTCTCCTGCGGAACAGGCTCAATGCCATGTACAAAGGATCCATTATGACTGGAAGAAGCTTACACTTTCAAGCTAACCTGTAGTGGAATGAAAAAGTAATGCATTGAAACTTGCTTATATTCCCTTAGTTGTAGACTTTAACAAATCTGAAATTTTTATTTTCCCTCAAGAAAATTTTCAATCGTATAAGCACCCTAGTCTATATAATTATAGCGAATCAAAAGTTGAATATATTTCTATACAACCCCTGTATGGAAATAATCTATTCCGTCGTGCAATAACAAAGAAACCTCGCAAGATATGTCAGTGTTGCCAATTGGTGTTTGGTAGATCTCAAGACTCAACTTCAAAAATTAATAACTTTCTCATTTGTAATTGAATTGTAATTCCTCTCATTTTTCTACTTCTATTAATTCAAAACCAACTTAATATATCAGGGTAGATCTCCCCATAAAAGTATGAGTTGCAAAATTGTAATTTTTACCCCCAATATTCAGCTTTATCATTCATAAAGCTGAAGAAACTTAATGTTAATTTATTTTTCATTTTAAAAATAGGCCTAGGATGTAGATCTAGAAAGTAGAATTCCAACTAAGACTAGGGTCTAGGTCTAAGTCACACTCACTGACTCAGCTCAGGAATCATGGCTCCTTTAGCTAATCAAAATTATTATTAGTACAGTTCAGTTAAACTTGAACAGCGCTAAGTAATATGTATATGGTAATGTATTTTTACACCGGGCGTACTCATTTCAGCAAACTAGAACAAAACGGGTGTATTGCCACTACAAAACAAAACAAAAAGTACCAGTACAGTGCCCGAGGCCGGCCGCCGGCCGAGCAGCTGCTTTACGCTGCACTGCACTGCCGATGAGCAGCGGCTGCGTAGCGCCAGAGTCGGGCTCGCACAATTTCAACAGGGCCGAATGCTTCAGTAATTTTTGGACGTGAAATGACATATTTGATAGCAATAAACTCAATTAAATGGTTGCTCTTTCACTCAATAACATTCTAAAATCATAATTAGATTTTTAAAATTGCGATTTCAGTCATCAAACCTTGTTTTATGTGCGTCATCGAATAAGTTGATCAGGAAATGTTTACACCGAACTCCATGGAAATCTTGAAAATTTGAAGAAAATGTTGTTGTTGTTGTTGTGTTTTGAGTTATTGGCGATTAGTCAGTGATTTGACTATTGTCGCCAAATTACTTTACGGCACGTGTTATATCTCTCAATTTTGGATTAAAAAAAAATATATATATATTTATTTCGTTTTATATTTATCTATCTTTTAAGATAGTATCGTAAAATAATATCGTAAGCAAAACATTCATGGGCTAAATGGGTGAAGCTTTTCTTCACACACCTAATCGGAGATGAAGGTAGCCCATCCAATGTGTAAAAATTGCCAATTTGATAAGTGTAAGGATCGCATTGTACACGTACAACCGCTATACTACACACACGCAATATATTCTTTGTGTATTGTATCCATCAGGCATGATCAGTTCAACGATGGCTGGCTACCAATTAAAATAGGCATGGTGGTCGGATATAATGAGAGTAGATGATGGAGGGGGGGGGGGGGTAAAGCGCAGAACTTAAGGGCAAATCAAAGAATTATACTACGACCTCACCTCATTTATGTTAGAAATTAAAACGTTATTATCTTCTTTCGAATTGCAATATATCCCCGCACCATAATTATAAGCATGTCATGCATATATGCCTTTTCTCTGCGAAAGGGGGCATTGACTCTTTAAATACCAAATCATATAACCTGTTCACCATTATGTCACCGTCATGTACATATTTTCTATGGATATAATTTTTCACGATCTCAACTTTTCACCACCCTAGCGTCATGTACATTGTCAATTATGGATAAAGTGGAATATTAACTCTTCACTACCCTACGCTAACTTTTCACCACCCTACCGTCATGTACATTGTCTATGGATAAGCTAGAACATTAACTCTTCACCACCCTACGCTAACTTTTCACCACCCTAGCACCATGTACATTGTCTATGGATAAATTGGAATATTAACTCTTCACCACCCTACGCTAACTTTTCACCACCCTATCGTCATGTACATTGTCTATGGATTATTAACTCTTCACCACCCTACGCTAACTTTTCACCACCCTAGCGTCATGTACATTGTCTATGGATAAGCTGGAATATTAACTCTTCACCACCCTACGCTAACGTTTCACCACCCTAGCGCCATGTACATTGTCTATGGATAAACTGGAATATTAATTTTCCCCACCCTACGCTAACTTTTCACCACCCTAGCGCCATGTGCATTGTCTATGGATAAACTGGAATATTAATCAATTTTTCACCACCCTATAGCGCCATGTACATTGACTATGGATAAACTGGAATATTTAATTTTTCACCACCCTACGCTAACTTTTCACCACCCTACCGTCATGTACATTGTTTATGGATAAATGGTAATATTAACTCTTCACCACCCTACGCTAACTTTTCACCACCCTACGGTCATGTACATTGTCTATGGATAAAGTGGAATATTAACTTTTCCCCACCCTACGCTAACTTTTCACCACCCTTCCGTCATGTACATTGTCCATGGATAAGCTGGAATATTAACTCTTCACCACCCTACGCTAACTTTTCACCGTGCCACCCTAGCGTCATGTACATTGTCAATTATGGATAAGCTGGAATATTAACCCTTCACCACCCTACGCTAACTTTTCACCACCCTTCCGTCATGTACATTGTCTATGGATAAGCTGGAATATTAACTCTTTACCACCATATAGCGCCATGTACATTGACTATGGATAAACTGGAATATTTAATTTTTCACCACCCTACGCTAACTTTTCACCACCCTACCATCATGTGCATTGTCTATGGATAAAGTGGAATATTAACTTTTCACCACCCTACGCTAACTTTTCACCACCCTAGCGCCATGTACATTGTCTATGGATAAACTGGAATATTAATTTTCCCCACCCTACGCTAACTTTTCACCACCCTAGCGCCATGTGCATTGTCTATGGATAAACTGGAATATTAATTAATTTTTCACCACCCTATAGCGCCATGTACATTGACTATGGATAAACTGGAATATTTAATTTTTCACCACCCTACGCTAACTTTTCACCACCCTACCGTCATGTACATTGTTTATGGATAAATGGTAATATTAACTCTTCACCACCCTACGCTAACTTTTCACCACCCTACGGTCATGTACATTGTCTATGGATAAAGTGGAATATTAACTTTTCACCACCCTACGCTAACTTTTCACCACCCTAGCGCCATGTACATTGTCTATGGATAAACTGGAATATTAATTTTCCCCACCCTACGCTAACTTTTCACCACCCTAGCGCCATGTGCATTGTCTATGGATAAACTGGAATATTAATTAATTTTTCACCACCCTATAGCGCCATGTACATTGACTATGGATAAACTGGAATATTTAATTTTTCACCACCCTACGCTAACTTTTCACCACCCTACCGTCATGTACATTGTTTATGGATAAATGGTAATATTAACTCTTCACCACCCTACGCTAACTTTTCACCACCCTACGGTCATGTACATTGTCTATGGATAAAGTGGAATATTAACTTTTCACCACCCTACGCTAACTTTTCACCACCCTTCCGTCATGTACATTGTCTATGGATAAGCTGGAATATTAACTCTTCACCACCCTACGCTAACTTTTCACCACCCTAGCGTCATGTACATTGTCAATTATGGATAAGCTGGAATATTAACCCTTCACCACCCTACGCTAACTTTTCACCACCCTTCCGTCATGTACATTGTCTATGGATAAGCTGGAATATTAACTCTTCACCACCATATAGCGCCATGTACATTGACTATGGATAAACTGGAATATTTAATTTTTCACCACCCAACGCTAACTTTTCACCACCCTACCGTCATGTGCATTGTCTATGGATAAGCTGGAATTTTAACTCTTCACCACCCTACGCTAACGTTTCACCACCCTACGGTCATGTACATTGTCTATGGATAAATGGTAATATTAACTTTTCACCACCCTACGCTAACTTTTCACCACCCTACGGTCATGTACATTGTCTATGGATAAAGTGGAATATTAACTTTTCACCACCCTACGCTAACTTTTCACCACCCTTCCGTTATGTACATTGTCTATGGATAAAGTGGAATATTAACTCTTCACCACCCTACGCTAACTTTTCACCACCCTTCAGTTATGTACATTGTCTATGGATAAGCTGGAATATTAACTCTTCACCACCCTGCGCTAACTTTTCACCACCCTTCCGTCATGTACATTGTCTATGGATAAACTGGAATATTTAATTTTTCACCACCCTACGCTAACTTTTCACCACCCTACCGCCATGTGCATTGTCTATGGATAAGCTGGAATTTTAACTCTTCACCACCCTACGCTAACGTTTCACCACCCTACGGTCATGTACATTGTCTATGGATAAATGGTAATATTAACTTTTCACCATCCAATTACAATACAGTTTATTCAAGTTAAAACGGTATTATGTCCTATGTGCAGGCCAAAAATAATGACGAGGTTAAATTCCAACGTAATTTGAATGATAATAATAATTTAGAACTTCCCTCAAAACCAAAAGGTTTGAAAATGTCTTTTTGTGAGAAAATAATGATCATTAGTTGTCGAATTGAATTTAGCGAGCACGCTCGTTTAATTAGTCTGATTTTTACATAATAGACAAATGTACATTTAGTACATGTAGAGAGGCGCGGATCCAGGGGGGCGAGCGGGCCTTGCCCCCCCCCCCCCCGAAAAAAAAGGAGAGAAAGAAAAGGAAAAGAAGGGAAGGGAAAGAGGAGAAAAAGGGAAAAAAAGAGGAAGAAGAAAAGAAAAGAGGGAAGAAGGAGATCGGGGGGGGGCAAAAGGAATTGCCTCCCAGGCTGCTGCCCCCTCCCCCAATCAAAAAATAAAAGAGAAGGAAGGAAAGGGAAAGAAAAAAAGGAAAAATGAGATAAAGGGAAGGAAAAAAGAGGAAGAAGAAAAAAAAGAAGGGGGATATCAGTTGCAATTTTCCCGATCGGGGGGGGGGGGGTGGAGGAAAAAGGCCCTTGCCTCCCCCCCCCCCCGTCCCCGCGTTAAAAAAAAAGAGAATGAAGGAAAAGGAAAAGAGGAGAGCTAAAAGGGAACAAAATAGAGGAAGAAGAAAAGAAAAGGGAGAAATGAAGGGGAGATCAGTCAACAATGTGTGGAGCGGAGTGGGGCCAAAATGACCTTGCCCCCCCCCCCCCCCAGGCAAACTTAAAAGAGGGAGAAGGGAAGGGAAAGGGAAAGAGGAGAGAAAGGGAAAGAGCAAAAAGAGAATGAAGAAAGGTAAGGGATATCAGTTGTAATTTTCTCGTCAACAAGGTGTAAATCGGGGGGGGGGGCACTGGTGTACTGATAGGGGAGGGGGGGGGGGGCTTTGGGGAAATTAAATTCAAACGTGGTTTATTTCTAATTCCATAACGGTGGTTTACAAATAATGCTGAAATGACATAATTTTGCGAGATTTTTCATCACTTTTAAGTAAATTGTACTTTTGTATGCGTTTGTTGGAAAATGACAAATTCCTAAATTTACAGCCAGGCAAGAAAATGCTTCTTGAGATGCCTACATGTCAGGGCCCGCGGAACGGCGGGGATCGGGATCCTCGAGCCCTCCCCCCCCCCACTTTTTTTTTGAAAAAGTATATTAAAGAGAAATAGAAAGAAAGGGAGCAAGAAAGAAAAAATAGTTAACTGCCAGTGACACATTATAATGATGTATCAAAATATGCTCATCTGACCGTAATTAAATGCCTAAAACCCCTGAACTTCCGGGGGCAGACAAGGTATCAACATAAGTTCATCTGACTGCAGGCGCGTAGCCAGGGGGGCGGTGGGGTGGTCCCCCCCAAAACGCGTAGCGAGGGAGCGCGGGAGAGGGGAAACTGAATTCAGACAAAGAATATTTTCGAGAGCGGTACAACGAATCGTCTTCTTTCTCTAAAAATTAAATGAAACGTCGAAGCTTCCGCGCTTCGCACGGGAGGGGGGGAAACTGAAATTAGACAAGGATTAAGAGTCGAGAACGGT